GACATACCGGGGGCAGCGTTTGCCCTAAGCAAGACTCTGCCGATGAGACCCCATGAGGTGGAAGCCGGTGCAAGCGGTTGTTCGCTTGAACAAACGCCGCTGCAATTGGATAGTAATGATTACGGTGGGGTAAAGGCAATCATCGGTCAATGTTTTGTGTACGTGTGTGCGTTGAGACGGAGAACGTGGGGTCTGTTGATGTATGTGTTTTACGTGTGTCAGCACAAGTTGATAGATGTGGGCGTGTGTGCAACCCTGCCTGTGCAGTTGTCAGTGGCAAGTCCAGCGAGTGCAGTAACCCTCCCCCCCTTTTTCTCTCCCCCCCTTCCTTCTTTGTCCCAGGCTCCCATTGGGCCGGGAGTCTTTAAATCAGAAATTGATCGCGTTAAGTGATTTGCCAATAGTAAGGCTTGTTGCTATCCGTCGCGGGCTAAGAGATTTACAGATAATTCCATTGGCTGGGCCAGTTACATGACCCTCGGTGTGACCTGGAAATCTGCGACATCAATCCCACCCACCCGACCAGCACCCCCACCGCACCGCTCCCCAAGTTTGGCTCAGAGTCAAGGCAAGCCGCAGTAGCGGGCGGTGGTGGCAGTGGGAGATGATGGGGGTGGGGGGGGTGGCAGATTTGGTGGGGTTGGGTTCGGGTGATGGCCAGGGGGGGGGGTGGTAGGCGCAGCCATTATCTGACTTTCCACGCCCGGCTCCCCGGTTTTTTTTTGTGTGTGTGGCTTCGTGCGTCCGCACTTATCGGTCGAGAAACTTAGCGCATTCACGTCTTTTACTCCTTCTCTCACCCCCCCCCCCTCTGCTTCTCGCACCCCCGACCGAACAACTGGAACGCGTTTGTTGCGGGTGAACGGGGGAGCAGTTGCCGCTCGTGTGAGAGACGTGGGGGGGGGGCAGGCAAACGTCTTGGAAGGAAAGCGACGGCACGAAGAGACGCTGTAGCCCGCGCGGGGAAGGGGTAGGGGGGGGCCTTAGTCCGCACGGCGAAGTCGCCGTCTTGTTTTGTCGAGAACTTGGTGGGGGGGGGGGGTTCTCCTCTTTCCTGCCGAGCCAATTAAAGCGTTGTGCCAATCGCCAAGGTATGTGGGGTTTCGGAGCGATCGCGCGAGTGGAGACGCGCCGAGGTGGGGGTGGTGGTTTTGCGTGCGGGACGCTGCGGCGGTGTTTATTCCTCTCCGGCTTTAAAAAAAAAAGAAAAACCATGTTCCGTGAAAATGTGTTGTTGTCGATGCCTGCACGGAGTTGGTGAGAGTGGGCGAGTTGGGGTTGTTTGTTTCGCGGCTGAAGACAATTAGCGTGTCCAAGTTCGAGGTCCGTAAGTAGGACGCTGTTTGACAGCAAGATGTTTCGGCAGTGGCAGCAACAGTAAAAACATCTTGCCTCTTTCCCCCCCCCCCCCGCTTTCCTTTCAAATTCGTTGGCAGAATTTGATCGGCAGCGCGTTTTAGATCATCATGATCATTATTATTATTTGTAATTCCACGTCCGTATATTAAGAGAGAATCGACGACACATCGTTCGCGGTCGCTTGCCTCTGTCTCGTGTGTGCGGGGGGGTGGGTGGGGGAACACGCGGGCTAATGGAAGAGTATTTTTTGAAAAAAATGTAAAAAAAACCCACACCCCTATAAAAGCAACAGAAAGGAGACGAACAAAGGCAGCACTCGCTCACAGCTGCAACAGAAATTCGGGGCGGTGTTTTGATAATTTCCCCCCCCCCCCGCGCGTCACCCTCCCACACACACACACACAAGCGCGGCAGGTATCACATGAAAGCCAGCCACTTTTCGCGTCTGTGTTTGTTTTTCTGTCTGGCCCCTCAGAACTCTGAGCTCTCCCCCCCCCCTCACTCCGTCTCCCCCCCTGGTGCATTTTGCCCTCAGACAAAACCTTTCTGCCCAGCCTCAGAATGGACACGTTTAAAAAAATATATTAAAATTGATTGATTGCCCTCAATTGCATCACGATTTTGCTACCGGCATGAGTCTTCGTTTCCAGGGCAAAAACTCCATCCGGGGCCCATATTCCCAGCCGTGGTATATACGTACGTAGGACTTCTTTCTCACCGTACATAGCCAACCGTGTTCATTGGAGGTGCGGGGGAAGGGTCAACAGCGTGACGACGTTTGTAGCTCTCCGCACGGAATGTAGCGCACGCTCAAGCGACGGTTGACTTGGCACGTGTTTATCGGTGTCGGGGAAAATGGCCGGCGGTAGATATTTTACGGGGCTGTCCCCTCGCCCCTTTGTGGCATAATTACGGGATGCGTTTCGGTGGTCAGACACCAACGAGAGGCCGAAACTACGAGGCATCAAGTCTGCGCTAACCCACACATGCTTGTGGTAAAACGTACAAACAAATATGCTTTGATAATGTATACACTATCCTTGAAACTGAGTGACCTGCACCTATTTTTTCACGGCCTTGTCTCACCGGTGCTGTCGAGCAAAGAACGTCAAAAAGATGGAACAGCTCAAGGACAATGCCAACTCCATAGAATCGATAGCTCGGGTTAAGCCGTTCTGTCTGTGGGACCCTGTTTATGCCAGAAAGGTAATGGCTTCATACTTTTTGGTTTTTTCGGTAAAGTCACGTAGGTAAAAAATAAAATAATTGAAAACAACTAAATTAAATCACGACGTTTCGGGCGCAACACAAGTGTCCTTCATTTTTCTTAGGTTTTTTCGTTTAAGTCACGTAGGTAAAACCGTGCTGTGACGATTCCACCTGAAGACGGAAGCTTGTGTTGCCTCCAAAACGTCGTGATTTTTATTTTATTTTTATTTTACTTTTATTAATTAAAAAAAATAATTTTACCTACGTGACTTTATCGAAAAAACCTAAGAATATGAATCCTTGCAGTCATGAAAGCTTCAAATCTAGAATGTCCTTCTTCAGTTGGGGACTACGTAGCGAAAGCACAACCGCTTAAGTGTGTGGCTTTCCTGTTTTTTTATCATCTTGATAAATGGCAAAAGGGTCGGTCCCATGGATAGGACCGTCCTTGTTTTGAATTCAATTTTTTGTATTTTGTTTACATATTGGTGGATATGATATTTCCACATGGCAGGCACACTGATGCAGTTCAGTGCGGAACTACGTTTAATGTGTCTTTTTCGCCAGTATCAAAATTACCAACAAATAAGAATAGGTTTTCCCTTTTCTGGCAATAAAACAGGAGGTGTGACGATGGTCAAACACCAAATAGATATACTTTTTTCAAGGAATCAAGTGCTGCATTAACCACACGCACTTGTTCGCCTTTTGCCGCTGTTCTTTGGTGTAAGACTGGTGAGACGATGCCGTGAAGAAGGCGGTCTCTGGTGAAGGCCGATCGGTTTCAAAGACGATGCAAATATAATTATTATCAGAGCATGTTTGTTTTCATGTTTGTTTTCATCTTTTGACACAATTATGTGAGGTTAATGCAGACGTGATGCCTTGCAGTAGGTATACCTATTTTTGTGTTTGAACATCTTTAATGCCCGTTTAATTACCAGAAATGGGTATGGGCTATTCTTACATTTAATGTGTTGGTTTTTTGGTTCAATCATCTTTGACTGGGCTTTGGACTCCCTCGCCACGCCACCCTCTCTCTGCCTGCAAATCAATCTGCCTGACCCAACTCAACAGCAAACTCATCGCCAGTCACAAACGGAGTTCACCTGCGTAAGAAATTCTTTCAATTGGCTCTGCACACGGTCGCAGAGACTCGGCAGATTTGTCAACAACACCAGTGCGTGTGTGTGTGTGCGCGGGTGCGTGTGCGCGTGCGTGCGTGCGTGTGGGGCCTTATAACAACTGTCACTCCCAGGCAGTCCCCCATCCAAAGGGGGAGAACATTGGCCCACACCTACTTGCTGTACTGTGTCTCCTACAGGCACATTGTTTGTCAAAGCAAGGGACGTGATAATTCGCACCGTCGCCACACTGCGCTCCGTTCAACCGCGGATGCCCTTCCCTGTCCCCGAATGTTTTGCGGCAAATGCCATCGCATCTTCACATCTCACGTCGGCTGTCGAGTCAACGCAGCCAATCGTCATCGTCGTCATCAGCCATTGTCTGTCCACCGCTTGGATGAAGGCCCTCCACACGCCATCATCATCCCATCACGGCCCAGTGCCTCCACCGTCCGCCCGTGTCACTCGTGCACTTGAACCGGCGATCTCGTCGCTCCACCTACGCGACGTTCGTCCGCTCGGACGCACGCGTTTCTCTCGTTTGCTTAAGTAAGGAAGTTAGCCAATTATTAAATCAAAAGCACGCGGCGGTTTGGAGAAAATGAACAAAATCGCGTGGGTGCGCGTTCGTTCTTTTACACGCCCGCAAAAACAACGTTCATTTGTTTTGAATCGCTCGAGGTTAATAAAAAATAACACGCATCTTTTTGCATATTTTTTAAACGGCAAAAGCAATATTGCGGAGGACGTGCCACGGTCGCTGTGGTGGCAGCGGCGGCGGCGTTGTGAATATGAATTTCGCCTGCAGGGCTGCGAAAGTGCACGGCGCGACGCGCGCATTAATGCATGAAGCTAACTCGGAGGCATAGTTAATTCCGCGAGGCTGCCAAGTGCCGTGACATCTTACGCCGATCCCCGGCCCGGTTTTTTTTGTGCGAGAAGAAATCCATTTGCGTTATTGCACTTTTCAATTCGTGCTCAACCGCGCTTGGAATCACCTGTGACATCGCATCCCAGATTTACAAATCTTCCAGTCTGCTCGCCATTCTCCAAACGCGATCGGGGGGGGGAAGGAGTGGGGGAGCGCCGTATAAATGCGCGCGCTCGCCGTCGCTGCCTGTTATTGCAGATACTCCGAGCGTACCGGAAAAAAAAAGAAATCGGTGGTCTTCAAATTTTAATTGTGCGGATGTACGGAATTTGTTTTATTGTTGCATTTTTCATATTATTTACATTGATTTGCATTTTTGTATACGTGTTTTAATTTTTCGAACTCCACCCGTGCCTGCCCGTGTGTTGCATTTGCAGACGATTCGCAGCAGCGCGCGGACGTCACGCCAGGCGCCCTGTCTGGCCAGCTGCACCATGCCGACGTGGGGAGTCTGCCAGACGGCGGTGAGAACACGTGTTTATTATTTTATTTTTTATTTTAGACTCGCCTTGGTTTTCCGTGCAGCCCACAGCCCCATTTGGTTGCGGTGAAAAAAAATATATATATGTAACGGTAATATTTGAACGGAACCCTAAATAGCGAGCCTCTTAACGACGCGCGCACGGGATAACCCATCGCTCTGCTCTCCCCGCACTTGGATGATTTGTCACGATGTAAACTTATTTGCTCTTGGTGGTAAATTGTTTCTCGTTTGTTCTGTGTCAATTTGTCTATGATTGTTTGGCCCCCGTTGGGTCCAAACTTGGCATTCGCTTTTCATCGTCGTCGTGATGGGCTGGCATCTATCCACTGCTAGGTTAAGGCCTCCCGAAGCTGAATATTTAATCGGTGTGAATTGTCAGTCATGGATTGCTGCGTGCTGATCTCGGCGTGCTGTGTCGTGATCTCAGGAGTGGATTTTAAACCGAAGGGTGACCGCATCGCCGCCCCGCGATTCTTCTGCGAACTTCCAGCGTTCTGTGTCGTCTCCTTGCGATTTTTTCCGCCGTTCGTTACCCCAAGTAATTTTTCCGAGCAATCTTTTGTTGCAAGGAATTTTATTTCGTGCAACGCTGATTCGTTTGTACACCATTTGCCCGATTTTATTCTTTTACTTGGTCATCTTTGCCCCAATTTATATCTCCACTTTCGAGCTCCTTCGCTGCTTATTAGTTTGTGTGCGGAGCTTTTCGCGTGATTGCTTCTGTCATTTTGGTGACCCGGGCCGCTCTTGAAGATGAGACTCGTCCCGGGTCTCTTTGAGTTCCTCATCCGGTTAAGCGACTTCAACTTGAAACCTCCTGAGTTTGCCGCCTCGTCTCCCCGTGACGTCTCTCTCTCTCCTTGCAGGGGCCAGTGACCTCGCGTCCCAGCGGCAGCACCAGCAGCTAAGCCGAGCCAAGCGCTTGCTGGAGGGAGGCAGGGGCAGCCCTCCGTCCGACGCGGCGCTACCCACCAAGAGGCCGAGGGCGTCGCAGAACGGCGAGGGGAGGCTCGTGCAGGTGACGAAACCCGCGGGGCTTGCGCTCGGCGGTCGCGCCGGCGCAGCCGACGTATCGACCTCGAGCGCCGACGACGCTGAACCTTTATGACCCCTTTCCCGTTCCGAGACGGCTGCAAGTTGCGGGGTGGGGTGTCCCGTTCACCCCGACCCTCGGAACGCGCGAGCGGCTTGGCGTTCATTTTATTTCGAGAGGCGTGGCGCCGTCGTTTTCCGAGACATTGAACTCACCGCAGAGAACCGTAGCGACACGACCCGCGCACTACGATAGCTGGCGCCTAACCGTGCCACGTGCCCTCCCGTGCGCTGCCCTGTGGGGGAGCCTCTGCACCGATAACGTTTTATTTTAGTCCTTTGTCAGCCATTCACCTGGTTCTCTGGACCTCTAGGCATTCATCCAAGCGGTGTCAATCGACCGCTGGATAAAGGCCTGCCGATGGCACGTCGGTCGTGGGGGTTGTTTGACCATACTTCACCATGCTGGTCGGTTTAGATGTCAGTCTCCACTGCTTCTAGTCATGGCCCGGAATAAAACTCGGGCCGCCGTGTTCATAGTGCGGCGCGCGCTAACCCCGTCGCCACCATTCCACCACACGGTACTTGAACCTTATGGCGGGACCCCGGGGTCCCATAAGCCCCCGGGGGCTCTCGCGTGAACTGCGTTGCGACGTCATTTAATGTCCGTTGAAGGTGAACGACGCGGCAATCTATTCCTCTCGACGAACTCTACACGATGCGCTAATCAAATTTTTGTTTGTGACTACGGAAATTTTGGCAACGATGGGTGCTTGGTGAAGAACGAGAGGTTTGATTTCTGGTGGGTCGCGGCGTTTACATGATCGGTGGGACGGAGTCGCCAAAAATAAGTAAATTAAATACGATATATATATTTTTTTTACTCGCGTTTATTCGAGACCCCGGGGTCCCGCCATAAGGTTCAGTTGTCGCAGACAGAGCCGTTGAGGCGCACGAGTTCATCATCACCGAGATGATCAGCAGCCGTGATCTATCCGCTGCTGAACAGTGGCCTCCCTAAGCTGTCCTGCCATCTCTCAGGGTCCTGCGGGATATAACGAGCCATGGAAACGAGTTGGGATCATGTAAAAAAAAACATGCGCAGAGTGGCAGATTGAACGGGGGGGAGGGCAGAGAGCGGCAGGGGTGGGGTGGGTGGCAGTCGGGTTTGGTGGGGGGGGAGGGTAGACATTAAATTAAATTTCCTTTTAAAGCGGCTTCAAATAATTTCATCGGTTCCTGATGGATAAGTGGAGTGTGTAGAGGCGAGCGCCCATCTACAAAGGGGAATCTTAATTAGTCGGCGATGAAAGCGTCCGGCGGATCGCACCAGACGGCGGGTGTCTGGCGTGGGATCATTTCCTTCGTCGCCCTGCGACGGGTTTATTCCGTCTCTCTCCGCGCCCTCTCGTCGCCACGCGGTCACTCGCCATGAGACGGGGGGGGGGGGGGATGACACGCAGCCATCGCCGCCGCCGCCGCCGCCGCCGCACTCGGATCCGTCGCGGACGTTCGACGGCGCGCCGGTTTCTGCCCGGACGACGGACAAATCTGGCAGTGGAGTTGAGCGCGGAGGGAAGCCTAAGGAAAGATTTCGATCGATGGCGCTTTGATTGCCGCGTCCGCCGTTAAGTGCCTGCAAACGGGGCAAGCGGCACGGACCGGACGGTACGGGCCGCACCGGGGGAGACGGACAAAGCAGACTCGACGGTACAGACAATAGTCGATCCTTGAAGCAAATCGTGACCTTCCCCTGTGTTGACTATTATCCCTTCACAGGCGGGGGGGGCAGTGAGTCTGTACATGCCTGTAGACAGCGGCAGCAATTAGTCTTAATTGGTCGTTTCCAGGAGCTTCCGCGTGCACCTGCGCCCCAGAGCGCAGTCTTAGCGGTGACATCATTTGTATTTTTATGTCAACGCAACCCACACTAAGAGGGGACCGGGGAAACGGGGAACGGTGGCACAGAGGTTAGCGCACTGCACCATGAATAATTGGCATCAGAATATTTTATTTATCCTGGAGGTATCCGATCAGCTCTTTTTCCATGGATGTCCAGGTAGGGGCGCTGGGTCAGAACGTTACAGCGACAAACAATCGGAGCGCAAGGTAGAGAGGAAAGGTAAAAAAAATCACTTAAAAATACCTCCTATTGGTGACAATGTGATAAAAATGATCATTTCATCTTGTGACGGAGCATTCGATCACAAGGAGGCATCCCCGGAATATCCACAGGCGAGCGAGCGGGGAAGGCCCAGGCGCTGAGTCGGCGCCAAATTCTCCGCCCCTCCTCACCAAGTTCTGCGGTCCTCTATATATGAAGGCGTTCGCAGCCAATTACCGAGCGGTTTACATGCAGGAGTCTGGAGCGCCCAGTCAAGCGAGCAATCACAGTTTAGTTTAACACGCAGTAGTTGTAGCGGTAGTAGGGCTTTCGTGGCCAATAGTATCCATAATAGAGGTTTTTTTGGGTTAGATCGCGTGAATATATAAATGTGTAGTTAAACCCGCCACCACCCGACACAGCCAATTAGTAAGGTTTGTCACGTAAACTAAACGTGCCAATCTGTTACTAGCACAGCACGCCGGTTGCGTGCTGTTGGAGAGTAAACCCACATTTACAATTAAGAGTACCGTGACATTTTGACGGTAATTACAACCAGCATCATCAGGCGACAGCCAGAGTTGTGGAGACATCCTCCTGTTTCGGTCTTGAATCACAGTTTCCGCTAACATTGGCAGCCTTAGCAATATCGCTGCAGCCACCCGTTACCACTGATAACAATAATTATTGATATTCATAGTACGCCCATAACGTAACGGAATATCTCGGAGCCACGCAGGGCCACGTGATAGGGACCTCCAGTTGCAATGTGAGTTAAAATAAGAATATGGTAATCTAATAACAATAATATGATTAACTTACCGCTTTCTGTCACTCTAATGCTGGACAAATGCCCCCCCATTCTAGATTTGAAGAAAAGGCCCCCCCCCCTACTGTGAATCAAACTGTGGTCACCGCCGGGGTTTTAGCGCTGTGGCGTTGGCGGCACTGATCACTGCGCCACCACTCCCCAGCCCTTGCTGTCTTTTGTCGGGCAGCGTTGTCTGATGTGGGGGGGGGGGGGGGGTGGTGGTGGTGGTGGTGGGGGTTGGCTGTATCTGTCTCGTCGTGTCTGCCCGCCTGCCCGGTGAAATTAAATAAGTCGGAAGGCAGGAAGGTTAATGCATCATTAGGGGGCCCCGAACGACGAGCGCCGTTTAAAATGTGCAATTAGAATATAACTGGGACATTCGGCTCCGGAATCAATAAGTAATAAATGAGAGCGCTTTTAATTCGAATAAAAATGTGCAAATCATTTCACGAGCAGCCGCTCTTTGTCGCTGTCGTCGCGCGCATATTCGGCTAAGAGTGGAGGTAAAAAATACATGGGCGCGTGGACGCGTGCCCGTGCGTGCGTGCGTGTGCTCCGTGCGTGCGACCGCGCTCTCGCGAACGGTAATGAAAAGCTACGGCCGCGGCCTGCCCCGACGGCGGAGACGATGGCAGAATTCGTGATTTTCCCAAATGCCGGCGCTCCGCTTAAACTCTAAACATGTTGTGGAAGTGCGCGGTGTTTTTTTTCTCTGTAATATATATATCTCGTGTTCGCTTCGAACGTGAATCTATATTCATTAGAAAAATACGTCTCTGGCGGGCAATGGAACGTGCGAGCCACCTGGTCGATGTTAGAGATAAATGCAAACACAAAGGCGGTGTGGAGAGACAAACCGGGAGGGGGCGGTGGGGGGAGGCCCCCCCACCTTCCCCCCAACCGCCCCCCCCCCCACGAGAATATTTTAGACAGCCACTATATGTCATCGACCATTTGTGCGATTTTTTTTTTTGTTACGACGGTAAAACGAAACGTGCCAGCGACTTGAGGCTTCCCGTGCCGAACGCAACATTCTAATCCGGCACTGCTGCAGTGTAACGGTCAGCACGCAATCCGGTTCGACTCCATCACCCGGCGAGGCCGTTAAAATCACCTGGTGGGTTTACGTGTGGTGGCGTAAAGTGTGGGTACTCCCCAACCCCCCCCTTCCCAAGACGTCTGACCAGCGCGGAAGAGTAGGCCAAACACCCCGTCTGCAGCAGCGCTCCCTCTGGCAAGAGGCCCTCCTTCCGGCAGCTGGTGGCGCAAGCGACACGTGGCAGGGCTGCTCCCTTCAGTCGCCTTTCACACGGGGGGCTGGAAACCAAATTTGGCCCCCCTGCGGGACGCTCGCTTGCCAAGCAGACGACGTCGAGTAAACAACTTTTGGCGATGGTCGCGCGTACGCAAGGGTTTTTACGTAACGCTTTCCAGCGCCCGTCCGTCTCCTGAGTTTGTAGGACGAGCGATTCCGCAACGGGGAATTGCTCTGTTGGCTCCGCGTTTTCTTTTGGTCCGCGGTTCTGAATGGATCGCACTTAGGGGAGTTATCGCGCGTCCCACAGCCTCCCCGTTACAGACGGCCCCGACGGAGTTATACAGACGGCCTGATGGAGTGTAAAGGCTCTTTAAGCCTCGTGTTGGCAAAGTGTGACTAAAAGATACGGGGGGTGATTAAAGTGGCGCTGATGCCACCGTGGCCATTTATGCCAGGTGCAGATGAACTCTGAAATCCATCTCGTGACCGAGCAATCTCCTTGGCGCCGTGCCCACAGGCACTCGGGGGTTTAGCGGTAGATATTAGCCGTGTCTCCCGGTGCCGACTTCCTGGGCTCAGAATCTGCGTTTGGAATGCCCCCTCAGATGCATTGGCCGTGTCACTCGGAGAGCCGGGCACCCGAGTTCCAGAGATTGAACAGCGGGGCTTGGACGCCCGTGGCTTCTCAAGTGCCGACGTTAATTCGGTGGGAAAAAAAACATTTGCGGAGGCGACCGCGTGATTCAGAGGTCGGATGATGCCGAGTTCCTACTGCTGCGCTCCTCGGTGTCAACTGCCCGTAGTGAAGCTGGGTTCTCAAGGTAGTAGAGCTGATGGTCTCGGCTCAGTGTCACCAATGACTGCACAAGGAAATAGAAGTTTAATCAAGTGTGGTTAATCGGTTATAATGAAGTATCCCAGCCTTGAAGACAATAAAGTTTTCTTTCTTTTCTTACCAGCACCGTTGCTTTATCTTTACCTTCCCTCTCCGCAGGTTGACGGCGACAGCAAGGAGGCTCCAGTGACGGTAGCGGCGGTGGCGGTAGTGGCCGGGCCCGCGGAAGCGAGGTCGCTGAGATGTCCCCTGTGCCAGGACTCGCTGGGCAGCGAGAGCCGCCTGGAGGCACACCTGTCGCGCAAGCACAGCGTCGCACGCGGCTGCATCGCCGGCATCATCGCCGCGGTGAGAAAGCGAGCCGGCTGATTGGGCGGGCGGGCGGGCGGGCGAGCGGGCAGGAGGGAGGGTGGCGGGTGAGCCAGCGGTCGGGCGAGCCAGCGGTCAGGCGAGCGTCCGCTGGGATCGGCGTGTGGTTAGAGGCCGTGGCGGATGGGGAACTGTGCAGGGGGGGAAGTGGCCAGAGTGGAGAGAGTCACTCGCCACACGTGGTGTAGCAGCCGCTAGGAGTCGTGACGATGGTGACGATGATGGCGACGATGATGGCGACGATGATGGCGACGATGATGGCGACGATGATGGCAGCCGTGAGCAGGACAGCCTTTCTGTCTTACCGCTGCTGGCTTTAGATTATCTCCACGCCGTGCGGGCAACACACGCTGGAGACTGTGCTTGAGATTTGTCTGTTGCTTGAGGTTGTTTTGCCAACGCTGGTCAGTGCGGGGTGGTGAATGTAGGGAGCGCAGGTCTGGGAGGTAAACAATATTGCTTTGACAGGCACACACCGGATATTTTACGATTACATAACAGGGTGGGTGGGAGAGTGCGGCACCCCTGGGTGTGTATTCGAGGTATGAATCTTGATTTAAAGCTTTCGTGACTGCAGGAATTCATACTCTTTGGGTCTTTCGGTAAAGTCACGTAGATAAAAAAAAATAATAGATCACGACGTTTCGATCGCAACACAGGCAATCGTCTTCAGGTGAGAGAGAGAGAGAGAGAAATCTACTGAAACAAGGTCTTGTATAGGCCTGAGATGGGTGCAGCCTCAGGTTAAGAGGGCGGGGGGATTAGCATGTCAATGATGCTTCGGTGGCAGATCGAGTAGGACATCAAGCCTGTCAATACAAAGACATCCAACCTCGTGATGCAACTCAAGAGAGTCCGCTAACATCGGCAGGAAGGATGGAAACATCTCAGTAGGTTCAGACTTTACCTGGTTAATCACGTCCTTCCAATGATTGCGCAATTTGTTACCCATCTTCTCGGTTGAATCTGTCTGTGTTTATATATCTGGATGGCTTCATGGACAGATCTTTGATGATAGTGGGTTTGCATAGTACCTTCGTCTGGACAAAAAATTCTAAATTTTTCCAAAACAAAGGTACTTTGCAAACCCACTGGCTGTCTTTGTATTGACAGGCTGGATGTCCTCCTCGATCTGCCACAGATGCATCATTGACATGCTTGTCTCCCCGCCCTCTATATAAGACCTTCTTTCAGTAGCTTTCGCTCTCTCACCTGAGGACGATCGCCTGTGTTGCGATCGAAACGTCGTGATCTGTTATTTTTCTATCTACGTGACTTTTACCGAAAGACCCACAGAGTATTCGAGGTATCTTAATGCGATATCAGAAGTAGTTACGTGATCGCGGCTTCAGCGGACCGTTGCTCTTGCACGGGGGTGATTGCCGTATCTCAGTAACGTGATGCCGATATTCGAATTGGAGATCAACACTTGGTTGAGGCTTCCCTGTCGCTGACCTTCACGTGAATTGAACGTGACAGCCGCTTGCAAGTTGGCCTGCACCAGAGAACGTGTGACGGAATTCAATAGCGCCGAGAAGAGTTTCGCAACGCAGCGCATGGTGAATGTATAAACACGTGCATGGACACCCAGAGGAATAAGAATAAAAAAAAGCTAAATGATCAAATGAACATAAACTAAACTAACGAACGAAAACTCAAGCAGGGCAAGATTGAGAGCGCAACTTTCAGTGCGTAGATGCGGTCTTGGCTATTCCGAAAGAAGGCACCGTGTTGCCAAAACTACGTCCGGCGTTTCGCTCCCGGCCACATGACGGAGCGAAAACCGTCGGGACGTCGTGCCGATGAGCGGGGGGGGGGGGTGGGGGGCGGCGAGTCTCGACTATTCGGCGCGACCGCGAAACCCCACGCGGCCGCAGCGACATCTTTCCGTCCGCCGCTCTTGTGACCGCTCGCCCGCTCGCTAGCGCGCAACCACGACGACTTTGCCCCGTCGGTGATCCGGCAATAGCAACGCGAGGTGGTGGCGGCGGTGGCGGCGGCCCCGCTCCGCCTGTTCCGTCGACGGCGACGCTCAACGTCCCGAGACGTCGGCCGCCACGGGAAGCGGAGAGAGAGCCCCGCACAGAACGGCCCAACCTCGTAGCCAATTAGCGATCATCCTTAGCCAGGGACAATTTCCCCCTGCGCAGAGAACGAACGGGGGGGGGGGGGGGGGGGGGGATGCTGGTCACTTTGCCCCGCACGCGCCGTGAGCGAGTACACACATTATGCATTGTTAACGCGCGGTAATTAGCTAATTGGCGTATTTGCCGGAATAAATTAGAAAGATGCTTAATTGTGTTTTCCTTCGCGAAGCTTAATTATTTTTCCGTTAGGTGCTGTAGTTTTATTTTTATTTCGCTCTCTCTCTCGCCGCCGGCCGCTGCCCGCTATTTGCCCGCCTGTTTAAGATTCTCGCCGTCTCGCTCGCATTCCTTTCATCTTTATCCGGAAGAAAATATGGGCCCATTAAGTCGGAACGTTTGAGTGCCTCTTAATTGGATAAAATCGGTTCATTATTTCTTGGGAGCCGACGCACTTGCCTGCTTCTTGTTCGTCATTAGCGGCGTGATTGTGGGGCGCTGAAAAAAACCCGCGGAGGCGGGAGGAGGAAGATTTTGGCACACGGCGGCAGTGGTGGGGGGGGGGGGGGGGTGGGCAGAGGTGACTTTTGATGTTCAGATTCTGAAGGAAAACGGGAAATCTAATTTTCAGGAGAGGCGTCGCGAGTAAAGCGCCCGGCCCCGTTGCCAATCCGAGTTCGCGGTAAGCGAACATCCCCACAGACAAAACCAAAGACTCTTCTTCTATCTTTGGGGCATTTTCTTTTTGCCGGTGTCAAGATGATGAACAAAAGAAAGTAAAATGCTTGATGCTAGCAAATAGGATCCCGTAGATATAACTGCTTAACCCGAGCGTATTAATGCTGTGGCGTTTGCATTGTCCTTGTACTGTGTTCGCCTTTTGCTCGATAGCGCACCGGCGAGACAAAGCCGTAAAAAGCCGCCGTCTCTGGCGCTGCAGGCCAATCCGTTTCAAGGGCAGTGCGTAGATTATCAAAGCATGTTTTACCGCAAGCATGTGCGGTGAATGCAGACCTGATGACTTGTCATCATAGGTGTCTGTTTGGTGTTTGAACATCTTATACCTCCCTGTAATTATTCGGAATCAGAATATTTATACTGGAGGAATCCAATGAGCTATAAAGTTCCTCTTCACAGATGTCCAGTAGAGACGGGTTAAGAACGTTACCACAACAAACAGAACGAAAACACGGTAGGAGTGCAGAGTACATGAAAGGTAAACAAATCACACAAACACAGACACAACACGAAACCATCCCCATCCTACCAGGCAAAGCCCACTGAGGTATTAATTTATCTTTCAGAAGCGAGGGTAAAGCCTTTTCTCTTTCTTATCAACTCTTCAGCATCATCATCACCATCATCGGTATCAGCCGCAATCAATTGCACTGCTGGATTAAAGGTCTCCTCCCCCCAAAGTCTCGGGAGATACGGGGGATTGGGGACCGTCTGGACCGTCGGGAAAAAGTTTGCGAGTGGCCTTGGGCAGGCCGCGCGCCGTGGCTCGAAGGGGACGGCGACGACGGTGGGCGGAGGGCGGCACCGCCGACGAGGGCGGCACTGCCGACGAGGGCGGCACTGCCGACGAGGGCGGCACTGCCGACGGAGGTGACGTCCGCCGCGGAGTTGGGAGCGGTCAGGATTGTCTCGCGGACGGACGGACGGACGTACGGGTTCTTTCATCACGAGACCGCGAGAGTTGGCGGTGGCTTGCGGGGGAGGGTGGGGGTGGGTTGGGATAGACCACGGCTGGCGGTTATGATGAGGACGACGACAATGTCTGTATTTCAATTTACAAAGTGAGTTTTTTTGCCCAGCGCTACCCACAGCTGATGTGGACTCTGCACGCGTGCATCTTGTTGTTTTATTGTATTTCAATGAGAGGCGCGGTGCAGAGCACACACCGCTACGTGGGGAGAAGGGGGTACAGAAACTCCGTGGACAAAGGGTCCCTGAACTCCTGGGTTTAGAGAAGGGGAGGAGAATGGGCTCCCTGAACCACCCAAGTTCGGACCACGAGCGACTATCCGTACTTTTATGTGGGGAAGATACGAAACTTTTATTTGAACAGGGAAGGCCCACTGAGCTACGGTATATAGCCATTTTTCAGAAACGACCTGGCCACACAATCGATAGCTCGACGAAGTGGCTCATCATCATCACCACGTGGAAATGTACAGCTGCCAAATGCTCTGAACGCGTGCACGTTGATTCTAAATGTGGAGGGAAAAACCGGAGGACCCGAATAAAAATTCCACGCGACCACGGGGAGAGAGAGAGACACGCAAACTCCAAATATATAGGCGTCAGGGTCGGGATCGAACCCACGACCTCCTGTACACCAGGCGAGGTAGTTAACTTATCCTAGCCACCGTGATGATGATGAGAGAGAGACACTCAAACTCCAAATATACAGCAGCAGGCGTCAGGGTCGGGATCGAACCCACGACCTCCTGCACACCAGGCGAGGTAGGATAGAGGGAGCAGGGAGAAGGAGGCGGCGGGGGGAAAGGGGGGTGGGAGAAAGGAAGGGGTGGGGGAGAGATGCACCTTTAGTTTCCTTTACATTGCCACCTTCCGCCTGTCGCTGTAGTTTTTATTTTGCAGCTGCGCCCGCCGCTACGGCAGCACCTGCAGGGCCGCCGCGCGTCCGCGCTAATTATCGACGAAGTCGCCCCGTACCCACACGTGCCGGGGATGCGTCGTTGGCCCTAACGAGGCCTCGCGTAATCAGCGAAACCTCGGGGATAAATTGCCGCGGAGGGTTGCGGTGCGTGCCGAACCATTCGCTGGCAGAGGTGGCGAAGGGGGGGGGGTGAAAACCGCCGGTGACTGTAAGCGAGCGCTCAACCTGCCGGAGTTGTTAATTGACGGCGAGCATTAACGCGCGGTGGCACTGCGCTACGCGTGTCTGTGTGCGCGTTTGTGTTCGGTGTCTGTGTGCGCGCGCGAGTGTGCGGGCGTCCGTGTTCGCGCACTGGGGCGACAAACCTGGCGACCCGATCCCCGCTCACGAACGACGATAAGTGGCGAATGTTTGAACCCATCCCGTAGATCTCTCTCCTCTAGGTCAGCTCAGCCTTAAGCGACCATCAACGGCGGGGCGTGCTGTTGGCCGCGCCCTCGTGTGCTGCGCCGACCTTGATAAGTGCTCGCAAACAGCACCACTGCTTGTCTAAACAGGAGATCTGCGTGTGTGTGTGCGTGTGTGCGTGTCTCTTTGCTTGCGCTCTGCAGCTGTCTATGGCTGAGACGTCCTCAACAGACTCCACTCCCACAAATCCGTGCGAGGCGAGTGTGGCCGACGGCAAGACACCATCCTCTCGTGGTACGTGTGCCACATTTTTGTTCAGTATGTATATTGACCGTGAATGTTCGCAGGCGCAGAATGCCAAGCGGGCAGCCGCAAACAGCGCTGTTGAGGATGTGATGGATTATAAGAGTGAATATACATGTTCCGAATTGAGACCTTGAAAAAGGAAGAGACCGTTTGGAGGGAATTACAAACTTGTCGGGCGATGCGAGGAAATTAGCAGAAAGATAATGAACGTTTTAAAAATATAAAAAATATCACGGGGAAAAATATATACACGCATGGCTTAACTCTCATCCGGTGTCACCTGCGGAATCGCAGACTCTGAGCGAGGCTGCACGACGGCGCCGGAGCCCGTCCAGACCCTCGGCGATCGTCTCAGCGGCGACGCTGGCTCCGGCGGCAGCTCCCAGCAGCGGGCGCCGTGCGGCGGCGAGAGGCACGGCCCCTCCCCGTCTCCATCTCCTTCCCCGCCGGCACCGCCGGAGCTCGGCGACCTCGGCGGCGGCGGCGGCGTCGGCATCGTCTTCGGCGGCGGCGCCGTCGACAAACGCGACAAGATCCTGTGCACGTTGTGCGCGCAGGGCACCTTTCGCACGTTCGCTTCGCTGCGCTCGCACCTGCAGGCGTGCCACCCGGAGGTGTACCGGCAGGCGCAGGCGAGCGACGCGGGGCTGCCGTGCCGCGTGGTGCGCGCCGGCAGCGCCGGCGCCGCGGGCGCCGCCGAGAACGGCGTGGAGCGGCGGCGCAGCCCCGGGGAGGTGCACAAGAGCTCGCAGGTGCTGCTCATGAAGTTCCTGGACCCGGCGCGGCCGTACAAGTGCAACGTGTGCGTCGAGTCGTTCACGCAGCAGAGCATCCTCGACTGCCACCTCAACTCGGTGTCGCACCTCCACAAGGTGAAGAAGGCGGCGGCCGAGTCGGCCGGCGACGGCGCGCAAGGCGACGCGGCGGCGCTGGCGGCAGCACCACCGCCGCCGGCACCCCTAGCCGCCGTCGTGAAGCAGGAGGGGCGGCACTCGGCCAGGGAGGGCGGCGGCCGCTTGCCGGGGTACGGCGACGATCAGGACGTCGTTGAGGTGATGGACCTTTCGCTCAAGTCGAGGAAGCCTCGCGAGTCGGACGCCAAGAGGAAAACGGAGCGCGTGAGTCAGCAGCTTCAGTACCACCACTACCAACAGCAGCTGCAGCAGCAGCAACAACAGCAGCAGCAGCAACAACAGCAGCAGCAACAACAGCAACAGCAGCAACAGCAGCAGCAACAACAACAACAACAACAGCAGCAGCAGCAACAACAGCAGCAGCAACAACAGCAGCAGCAACAGCAGCACCAGTCGACGTCGCAGGAATTCTCGCAGGGCCGCTCGTCGAAGTCGTCGCGTGGGGGCGGCGACCCGCACGCCCGCCAGGACGCGTGGCCCGAGCCGTCGAGCTCGCGGCTCAAAGCCGAGGCCGAGGCTCACGCCCAGGCCGAGGCGGAGGCCCAGGCTCAGGCCTGGCTGCAGGCCCAGGTGCAGACGCAGCAGGAGCTGCAGCAGGCGGCCATGCTGCAGCAGCAGCTGCTGCAGCAGGCATACTTCTCGCACCTGCTGCTGTCGCCCGAGGCGCTCGTGCAGTACCAGCAGCAGCAGCAGCTCTTGCTGCAGTACTACTACCCGGGGCTCGAGTTCCAGTTCAGCCCGACGATGGCGAGCGGAAGCGGCGGTGGCGGTGGCGGCGGCGGTGGCGGTGGCGGCGCGGCGCAGGCGTCCGCGCTGTCCCCGTCGACCGGCCGTGCGGAGGCTCCGTCGCAAAAGCAGCCGTCGGTCGGGCAAGCGGCCGAACACAGCCACAAGGCGGTAGTTGCAGCGGCGGCGGCAACAGAAAAATACAAGCTGGTGCCGGATACGACGAGCGACCCCGGCACGGACGAGGCGTCGAGGAGGACCGGCGCCGCCCCCACCGCCTCCGGCGTGGTGCCCGAACCCACGGACGCGGGCAAAGCATCAAACGAGGCTGGCGCCACGTGGAAGAGCGGCGCCGGCGGAGAGGACGGCCTGCTGCCGGCACGCGTCCCCTTCGGCTACACGGGCAACGCGTCGAAGGCGCTGCTCGCGAATGTCGGCTTCGAGCTGGTGGTGCAGTTCATCGAGGGGCGCAAGCGGCCGCCTCGGCACGGCGACACCCGGGAGCGCAGCATCGGCGACAAGCTGGAGTGCGGCGCGTGCCGGCGCCTCTTCTCCAACGCGCTCATCCTGAAGTGCCACCAGGAGCACGCGCACAAGCAGATCCTGCCCTTCGACGAGCTCGCCAAGTACGCCAAGCGCTACCGCGAGGTCTACGACCGCATCTACCCGCTCGAGGAGGTGCCGGTGAGCGCCGTTGAGCAGCGAGCGCCCGAGCCGCCGCCGCAGCCGCCGCCGGCGACGACGCCAGCCGCGGTGTCGTCGTCGTCGCAGGCGGTGCCGGCGAGCGGCGGGCAGCAGGGCGAGGCCAAGCAGGGCCGCACGGCCGAGTCCGCCGCTGGGAACGCTGCAGTTCCGGTGACGGCGCCGTCTTCCACGATGGTGTCGTCGACTACCATGGTTATGCAACAGCAGCAGCATCATCATCATCAGCAGCAGCAGCAACAGGCAGCGCAACAGGCAGCTCAACAGGCAGCGCAGCAGGCAGCGCAGCAGGCAGCGCAGCAGCAGCAGCACGAGTCTGTGGCGGGCATGGACATGGCGGCGTTCGCTCACCTGATGCTGCAGGTGCCGTTCGCAACACTTCCCCAGCAGCTTTTGCAGCAGTTTTCGCTCGCTCCAGAACCGCTCGCACCACTCGATCTCACGAAGCTCCAAAAGCAACAGCAGCAGCAGCAACAGCAGCAGCAACAGCAACAACATCACCAGCACCACCAACACCACCACCAGCACCAGCAGCAGCAGCATCGTCACGCCGATCCCAATGGGCCGGCGCGTTTGGAGGGAAAGCGTTCTGGGAGCTCCGCTCAAGAAACCAGGACGAAGGCGAGGTCGGGCGACAGGGACGCGGCGGCGGACTCGCCGCACGCGCGAGAGGTGAAGAAACTCGAACACTCGAACAGAAGCGAGCATCTGTCAAAATCCACACCACATCACCATCAGCACCAGCAGCAGCAGCAGCAACAGCACCAACAGCACCAACAGCAGCACCAGCAGCAACAGCAGCAGCTACAGCAGCAACAGCAGCAACAGCAGCAGCAGCCAGCGACAGAGAGGCGAAGTCAGAAGGCGGATAAGACAGGCGGCACACCGCGGGCGGAGAGTGGCGGCGGGGGGGGCGGCACCAACTCGAGGGGCCGGGAGACGCCCCGGGCCGAGCCGCCGGGCGTCGCGGTGTGCAAGAGCGAGGCCCTTCTCGACGACAGCGCCCTCGAATCGTCGGGCTCCTCCAAGTCGGAGGAGCCGGCGCCGTACAAGCGCTCGAAGCGCACCACGTTCAAGGACTACCAGGTGCGCGCCATGCGCGAGTCTTTTCAGCTCAACGCCTACCCGAAGGAGGACGAGATCAAGCGGCTGTCCGGCCTGCTGGGCCTCCCGGCGTGCACCATCGTGCTGTGGTTCCAGAACGCGCGGCAGCGCTACCGCAAGCAGCGTGAGCTCGGCAAGGACTCGGACTGGCGCGACTCGGGCTCGGGCGACCGCGGCTGGGCCCGGCTCGACTCGGTGAAAGCCGAGTCGCCCGCGGCGTCGGCGTCGTCGTCGTCGACCGCGACGACGGTGTCGTCGGCGGCGGCGCTGGCGGCGGTGGCGGCCGTGGACATCTCGGCGGCCGCGGCCGCCGCCGCCGCCGCGGTCGCCGCCGCGGAGTCGGAGCACCTGGCGTCGGCCGAGGCGCTGGACCAGAAGTCGAAGCAGCTGAACCGGACGCGCTTTTCGGACGAGCAGCTGCGCGTGCTCATGCACTGCTTCAACGCCAACCCCTACCCCAAGGACAAGGAACTACAGCAGCTGTCGACGTACCTCAACCACCCGCGCGTCGCCCTCAAGTACTGGTTCCAGCACATGCGGCAGAAGGCGCGGCGCCACTCGGACGGGCAGCCCGGAAGCGCCGGCCAGGGTTCGCCGCCGCCACCAGGGCTGCAGCCGCCGCCGCCGCCTCCTCCGCCGCTTTCCGCCGTCGTCGTTGTCGCAGACGGCGGGAGCCACGCAGAGGCACGGCTCGGGCGGCGACGCGGCCAAGGACAAGGGCGGCGAGCAGGCGGCGGCGGCGGCGACGCACAGGAAGGGCTCCCTGAAGTGCGAGGAGAGGGCGGATGTTGCCGGCGAGCGGCTGATGCAGATCCTGAGCGCGCAGAACGCATCGGCGCTCGGGCCCATGCTGCTGCCGTCCATCCAGGCGCCGGCGGCCGCGGCGGTGGGGACGGCCGCGGCGGGGATGGGGGCGGCGTGCGTGCCGTCGTCGAAGAGAGACGGTGCCAAGGAGGTGGTGATCAAGACCAAGATCAAGACGGAGCGCGTGGAGGAGGCGGCCACGGCGGCGGCGGCGGCCGAGGGCGGCGATCGCAGGCCCGAGCCGAGGACCGACAAGAGGCCCAAGTCAGAGGCCCCCGGGGCGGCGTCCGCGGCGGCGCTCGCGGCGGCCACCGCCGGCGCTTACCAGTGCGACTCGTGCAAGCTGAGCTTCGTCAACTTCGAGCGCTGGCAGGAGCACCAGCGTTGCCACCTGCTCAAGCTGCAGAGCCTGGCGTCGGAGGGAAAGCAGCTGGCGTCGGAGGGAAAGCAGCTGGCGCGGAGCGACAAGCACCCGGTGAGGGCAGCGACGCAGCCGGTGGCGGTGGCGGCGGCGGCCGCGCAAGCCCCGCTCGACGGCGTGGACCTGACGGCGAAGGCTGCCGGCTCGGACGAGCTGGAGCGGGTGAAGTTCCCCAACACGTCGCTGTCGCTGGAGGAACTCAAGACGCTGTACCAGAAGTACTCCCTGGACGCCGTGCAGCCGGGTCAGGCGTCGGAGGACGAGTCGGCCAAGAGGCACGCGCTCCTGCAGGCCTGGTTCCAGAGCGTGCGCGGCGAGCCCAAGGCGGCGGCGCCGCTGCCGCAGCCCTCCACCGCCGCCCACGCCCAGCCGTCGGCGCCTCACGGACAGTGGCGGCCCCTCCTTAAGCGCCGTTGCCCCTTCTGCCACATCCTGTTCAAGGACCAGGCCCTGCTGGACGATCACGTGCAGACGCAGCACGGCGCCGAGTCGACGGCGGCGGCGGCGGCGCCACCGGCACCCGACAACGGCAGCCTGGCCTCGCCGCCCGACGAGACGGCTGCCGCAGCCGCGGCGACAGGCGACGGCGACGGCGGTCGCGGCGTCGAAGGCGCCGTCGGGCCACCGCGGCACCTACTCCCCGCCGCCGCAGCTCAGCCCGTCCATGCTGAAGGTGGAGGGCATCATCGCCGACATCGAGAACCCGGCCGTCCCGGCCGCCGCGTCGGCCACCGGCGCGGAGAGGCGGCCGCCCGCCTCGCCTCCCGCCGCTCCCCCTCCTCGCGCCACGGCAGGCGGAGGCGGCCGCCGCGGCCGCAGGCGGCGGCGGCGGCGGCGCTGGCGGCCCTCCCGTCGGCGTCGGAAGCGAAGCACGGCGGCGTGTCGCGCGTCGAGGAGTCGTCGGAGGGCGCGTCGGAGGACCCCTGCTCGCTGAGCCCCGTGTCGGGCGGCGGCGGCGACTGGGGCTCGGGCGACCACCCCAGCGGGCGGCGGCGGCGCACGCACATCAGCAGCATGCAGCTGGCGGTGATGCGCGCCTGCTACGGCGAGTGGCGCACGCCCTCGGTGCACGAGTGCAGCTCGCTGGGCAAGGAGATCGGCCTGGAGAAGCGCGTCGTGCAGATCTGGTTCCAGAATGCGCGCGCCAAGGAGAAGAAGGCCCAGCGCAACGTGCCGGATTCCGCCTCGCCGGCTGCCGGCGGCGGCGGCGGCGGCTCCGGCGGCCCAACCACGCCGACCGGCGCCACCTCGCCCGTCGTGGGCTCGCCCGGGTCGGACAGCGGGCCCAAGACGGCGTGCGGCCTGTGCTGCGTGCGCTACAGCGCCAAGCTGTCGGTGCAGGAGCACGTGTTCTCGCTGCAGCACATCGCACGCCTACGCGAGGGCTTCCGCCAGCAGATGGAGGCGGAGAAGGAGACGCGCGAGAAGGCCAAGAGGCTGTGCCTGCCGACCGCCGGCCCGCACCTGCCCGAGATCCGGCCCAAGCAGGCGCCGGCCGATGGCGGCGGCGGGGAGACAGAGGTGGCGGTGAATGCCGGCGTGCTCCCCTTTGCCGTGAGCGGGCAGGAGATGGCAGCGTCCGGTAGGTTTGCGTTATTTGGCGACGACGTCTTTTGGTAATTTCTGCCGGAGTCGTCTGCGCGTAGCGCTGCCTGGGCACATCCTGGGTACGTCAGTCAGCCGCTGCTCGGTTTTTGCGTAGTGCACTACGCATCAATTTGCGGGCGTCCCACGACGCTTTACCGGTGAAATCAAATTAAGACTAATGTCCAACTTTTGGAACGTGTGGGGGAGTGGTTGTTGTGCGGCGTTTTCTATTTCTCGTTTTGGTTACCCAGGTTACTCAGTCTTGCAAATGAGACTGGTCTCTAGGGTTCCCACCTGGCTGAGCAAAGATTAACTTGAAATGGAGCATATAAAACACGTACTCTTAGTTTAACACGTAGGCTTTCGCGAGCAACATCATCCATAATACAGGTTTTTTGGGTTAGATCGCGTAAATATATATGTCATTAAACCCGCCACCACACGATACAGCCAATTAGTAAGGGTTGTCACGTAAACAGAACGTGCCAATTCATCACTAGTACAGCAATTCGTTACAGCATCACCGGTGTGTTGGAGAGCCAAGCCACAACATTTACAATCTGAGTACGACGTTTCGCCGGTAATTATAACCAGCTTCATCAGACCGACGGTCAGACTTGTGGAGAAGTCCTCCAGTTTCGTTCAAGAAATCGAGGCATAGATGTGACGACAACCCCTTGTGCGCTCTTCTTGCGAGGAGTGGAGTGATTAATGAATGCATATAAATGACTATGGGTATCCATTGCCCTTTGGGTTATTTATACAAATGCTTACTTTGAATAACAAATCAACGTGTACCGTTGACCCGTCTGCGCTACGTTACGGGCGCACCGTGAAGGGGTGAGTTTGCGCGCGATGGCAGGCGAGAGGCGACGACGCGTACGGACACCTGCGAAAAAGAGCTTCGTAGCTCATCGGATTCCTCCAGTCCGATTCTAATTGAGGTGCCGCCCTCCCGCCGGCAGTCGCTCCTCCCCCTGGCCCCTCCTCCTGGCCCCTCGCCGTGGTCGGCTACCCCGCACATACCAGCAGCGGAGAGAGGCTCGCTTGAAGGAGGGGTCTAGGCGGGGGAGGGAGCTCTCTGCGGATTTTTCGGCGGCGGGCTGTTCTCCCGTCGGCCCAAGGGTCGTCGTCATCGTCGTCACACGCTGCTCTCGTGACTTCGCGACGCTGGTCGCGCGACCGGCGTAACAAAAATCGTGGGGGGTGGTGGTGGTGGTGGGGGAGTTACAAAATCGTGGCGGTCAAACGGCTGACATGTGCCAAAGGGCCTTGCGCCCCGTCGCGTTATCAGCAAAGGTTTCTTTGGTTGGATCACGGCAACTGACACGTTTGTATTTACGCGAGGCTGGTTGTTGTAATTACCGGCGTAACGTCGAACTAGAATTGTAAATGTTGTGGGTTTACTCTCCAACACACCGGTGTTGCTGAACCAGCAACTAATTGGCACGTTTTGTTTACGTGACAAACCTTACAATTGGCCGTGGCGGGTTTAGCGACGCATTCATATTTACGCGATCTAATCCAAAAAAAACTTTAATTATGGATAATATTGGTCGCAAGAGCCTACTACTACTACTATCTGTTAAACCCACGTCACGTTGCCTCCCGGTGGACCATTCCTGGCACGAACACATGATACACTCGGGCAATTTTGAGGCAATAGTTGCAGTTGCTCTTATTGCTTCTGCTGCCGCTGCTGTTGTTGTTGTTGCTGCAGTTGCTGCTGCTGTTATTGTTGCTGCTGTTGCTGCTGCTGTTGTTGTTGTTGCTGCTGTTGCTGCTGCTGCTGTTGTTGTTGCTGCTGCCGCTGCTGTTGTTGTTATTGCTGCAATTTGCTGCTGCTGTTGTTGTTGCTGCTGCCGCTGCTGTTGTTGTTGCTGCTGTTGCTGCTGCTGTTATTGTTGTTGCTGTTGTTGCTGCTGTTGTTGTTGCTGCTGTTGCTGCTGCTGCTGTTGTTGTTGCTGCTGCCGCTGCTGTTGTTGTTGTTGCTGCAATTTGCTGCTGCTGTTGTTGTTGCTGCTGCCGCTGCTGTTGTTGTTGCTGCTATTGCTGCTGCTGTTGCTGCTGCTGCCGCTGCTGTTGTTGTTGTTGCTGCTGTTGCTGCTGCTGTTGTTGTTGCTGCTGCTGTTGTTGTTGCTGCTGTTGCCGCTGCTGTTGTTGTTGCTGCTGCTGTTATGACTCATGCCGCTGCTGCCGCGGTCACCCGTGCCCTCGCCGCTCCTCTCACTTGTCTCCGTCTTCTCCCTTCGCCCCTTGCCGCAGCCGTCCCGGCAAAGTCATCGCCGGCGTCCGAGTCGGCGCCCAAGACCGCGAGCCTCCCCAAGCTCGTCCGCTCGGCCACCACCTCTCCCAAGGCGCCGGCGCCCGGCGGCACCGCCGCCGCCACCGCCGTCACCTCGGCGTCCACGTCCTCGTCCTCCTCGCCGTGGCTCCGGGTCGGCGCCGCCCCGGGTCCCCCGGCCATCGCTCCGGTCCCCGTGCGCCTCGTCACGCCGGCTCCCCGACGCCGCTGCGCCGCCACCCAAGCTCGTGACGCCGACCTCCTCTTCTTCCTCGCCGGCGACGTTGCCGCGGCCAAAGCACGGTCCGTCGTCGTCTTCGCTGACGTCGCCGACGGGCGGCGGCAGCTCGGCGAAGAACGCCGCCGCCGCGTCCCCCTCCCCTTCCTCGTCCAAGTCGACCGCCCTCAACGCTTTCCCGCTGTCGGCGAAGATGGCGTCGGCGTCGCTGTCGGAGCTGTCTCCCACGTCGTCGTCGTCGCTGCTGCTTCAACAGCAGCAGCTGCAGCAGCAGCACCACCATCACCAGCAGCAGCAGCAGCACCAGCCCCGAGACCGCAAGGAGAGGTCGGAGAGGAGCTCTGAATCCAGCAAAAAGGAAAAGGCGGCAGAGAGGGCGGCGGCCGCGGCGGCGGCGGCCGCGGCGGCGCTGGGCTCGTCGCTCGGCGAGGCCGCGGCCGGCGGTAGCAGCGGCGCCGGCCCCGAACCGGCGGACGCCAATGCGGCGGCGACGGCGGCCGCCCTCCTCGCTGGGCAGTACCTGCCCTACCTGATGCCGGGCTACGGCGCGTACTACACGTCGCAGCTGCCGCTGGCGTACTTCGGAGGAGGCGGCGGCGGCGGCGGCGGCGGCAACGCGGACGCTCTGCGCTACGGTGCCAACACGAGCGCCGCCCTCATGCAGTGGCAGCGCCAGTACCAGCAGGCGCTGCAGGAGGTCCTAGGCGGGCAGCAGCTTCAGCAGCAGCAGGAGCAGCAGCAGCTCCAGCTCCAGCAGCAGCAGCAACAGCAGCAGCAGCAGCCAAGTCCGTCGGAGGGCGGCCGGGAGGGCGGGCGGAGGCAGCGCAACCATCACGCGCGGCGTGGGGACGAGCGGATGGAGGTGGAGGGGGAGGCCTCGCGGCCCAGCAAGGTGGCCAAGACGACTGAGAGCAAGACGTCGGACGCTTAGGCGCAACAATGCGACCCCTCGTCTGCCCCGCCGAAGAGCGTCTGACCCGGTGACCCGGTGACCGCATTTCGTCTCGGCCGCCGAGTTGCTTTGCTCTTCACTCTCCTGTTTTTGTTGTTGTTGGCGCAAGGAACGTCTGCGTTCTCCTTGAGAGAAGCGAGCGCCGAATGTAGTCACACTTTTTTTTCTTGCCAATGAAGGAAGAGGAGGGTGGGCGGGGGGCGGTCAGTCGATTGTTCGATCTTCCTTGGGCCCTGAACTACTGGGGCGCGTTGGCGATGGAGATGAAACGATTCCCGTCGTTGATCTTCGTCCGTGTCCCCCTCCCGCCTTTCGCGAGTCGGATGTTTGGTCGTGGGCGAGGAGGGATGGCGGCGGGGTGGGGGGGGCGGCGCGTCGGGCGTGTGAACGCGCGACGGGGAGGGAGTGAAGGAGACGCTGCTCGCAGGGGCATTAATACCCTCGCCGGGACGAACCACGGCCCGCGACGGCAAACCTCGACGTGGACGAGCGGACTTGTGAACGACGCGAAATCTACGGGAGGGGAGAAACACAAGTGATCGAACGACGTCGGGGGCACGACGTCAAAAACGGAACCGCCGACCCGTTTAGAACGTACAGCTAAAAACACTCGGCGCAAAGAGCAAACGACGAATCGATACTAATAACGGCAAACGATAGCGTTGGAGAGCACGTCACGAAACTTAGACGCCCCTACGGATACTGACGACTCACTCGGCAGTTGGTGAAGGTTCCTGCTCGTCGGCGAGGATTTCCACGCCAATGGGTTCGTCGGAGCGGAATGCCAAAGAGCTTCCTTTCTTTGACAGTCGGGCTATGCCACTTACCTCGGACACGCTTTGCTTGGTCTGCTACCTCACCTTCTTTCCCCTTGGCGTGAGACACAAAACAAAAAAACACTTCTCGTGTCCTCCCTACTCTTCTCCCCCTCCCGTCTCTCTCTCTCTCTTTCTCTCTCTGTCCGTCTCTTCGTCTTTCTCCCCCTCTCTGCGTTCCTCACCTGCTACCAAAAAAATGAAACGACAAAAAAAAACCGAGAGAGAGAAATGACTTTGACGATAAAACAAAAAAAATGACTTTATTATGAATCACGTTTTACGTATAACTGCCCAACTTTTGCTTTGTATGTATTTGAATGACGCCGCACTGCGGCATGTGCAGTTGTGTACATTATATATATTTTGTGCAGGCTGTGGCTGTCGCGTGGCTTTATTGAAGCACAGGGCATGGCGGCACTAAACTAAGAAAAAAAGGGTGCGAGAAATCGTTTCTTTAATTTTCTCTTCCCTTGCGTTTGACTCGCCGTTCGTCTCCGCCGTCGTTGTTTGAACTCGGTTTAAAAACCACAAAGCAATGACTCTTCTCACTATCTCCACGTGTTCAGCGCTTTCTGCCAAAGATCCGTGGTTTGTTTAATAAAATGAAAAGGAGGGGGAGAGACCTATGTAATGTAGGAAGTCGATAAAAAATAAAAAAAATAATCATGAAATGAAGGATCAGTATTGCTGTGCCGAGAGGTGACCGTTGATGATGTTTAAGCCGTCTCTATGAGGGTCGCTAACAAAACAAATCTGAACCAAATATGAAATGAGGTCGGTGCCAGTCGCGAACGTCTCGTTATGTATGTATGTTACACGCGTGTGCGCGCGCGCGCGTTGCCGTCGTAGCGCTAAGCGCTCCTCGGGCTCCGGTGCGAGGAGGGAAACTGGGTGTGTGTGTGTGGTGAGGGGGGGATCGGGCTTTCAAAGCCGCTGTTTTAAGATCGTGAAGGGCGATGCGCAGATATGGACGCTTTGTTTTTCTCTTTTTACGGCTCGTCAATTGCTTTAACATCGGGGTTTTAAAAAATAAGAAAGAAACCCGCCTCCCCTTTTATCGCGTTAAGCCGGTGGTGGGGGGGTGGTGGTGGGGGGGGGTGGTGGTGGGGGGGGGGGGTGGTGGTTGTGGGGGGGTGGTGGTGGTGGTGGGGGTCCACTTTGATGGCTCCCCCCCCCCCCCCCCCTCAAAACATTTGTCATGGTGCCATTTATATAACCGTCGTCGTCGTTATCATCATCGTCTTCTTTTACTTATTCTTTATTCTTATATTATCATCATTATCGGTATTAGTTTCGTTATGAATTGTGTGAGGCTGCGCGCACCATAGAGCCACTTCGCTTACCGATTGACGCTAAATGAAGTTCTTTTTTTACCCCCCCGTGCAAGGGGTGGGGGTGATGGTGGTGGGAGAGGAGGAGGAGTGCTGTTGAGGGGGGCAGCAGCAGAAGCCTGATTACAATATTATTCTTTTTTTTACGGAGCCGGGAAATCGCCGTTGGCCAAGTGCATTCGCCGAAAATGCCGGGGGAGTTGGGGAAGACGTTTCGTTTGGTTTCTCACGGCCGGGAGACAGGAGAGAGATGGGAGGGAGATGAATCCGGCTGCGTATTTTTTCTTTTTTCCCTAGATGCGTACTTCGAGCAGCACATAGCTTTTTGTTGTTGTTGCAAACTGTGGCGCCAAATAATAAATAAATAAAACGAACACTTGCGGGGTGAAAACTAAAATAATAATAGACAATATGAATTATTATTGTTAGAAAAAAATATAAAATGACGAAAAAAAAAGCAAATTTGGGGGGAGAATAATGAATTGTGGGGGGGGGGGGGGGGGGTGGGGAAGGGGTGGGAGGATGTTGGAAAGAGGAATACGATGATGACAAAAATACAACGCAATTGCAAATCACTCGCTCTGAAACCAAAGAAGATGACAAACGTGAAAGACAAAAGAAAACTCGGTGGGAAGGACTATTCGATGGAGAGAAAGAGAGAGAGAGAAAAAAAGCCAAGAACAACTTCCGACGGATTTTTGTTTGAACACAGTCACAGGAAGAAGGTTACTGGGGCGGCTCCGACTGGCCCACAAGAGTATCAGCTTTTAAAATACAAAAACAATGAGCGCCCGCCCGCCCGTTTGCAGTATTTTATCGATGTTCGTTCACGCCGTCGCGTGACCCCCGCCCGGTGCACGCCATCGCAGACCTGTGTCACGTTCATCGCCGCGCCGGCGTCTTCGTTTTTGTCATTTTTTTTTTATTTCGTATGAAGTGCAGATGCCACACGTACACTTTGAAACTTTGTTACGCCACTCACGTGTAAAAGAGGAACCCGATTAACATTGAGACAAAAATATATATCTTTTTATTCTCTCTCCCCCGTTCTTTTATCACTGCAGCAATACAATTAAGATAGCCACAGCATGAGTAATTGCTTGTATAAGTTGCGATATACCACGTTGTTTAAATGCAGGCGCTGTACGCATATTTTTAGCGTTTTTTTTTGTTGTAAAATAAAACAGTCGTTACCATTTATAATAGACGATCCATCGCCGCCGAAATTCCGTGGCGCACGAAACATTAAAATGTGTTCTCATTTAATCGCATTTTTATAACTATTAACCGTTATTTAATTTCACATCGTTTCTTTTATCTCTTCAATGCCATGAAGCGCGGCAGGCTGTGTCGCGACGAGTTGCCAGGATTTTGCGCATCGGCTAAGCCCTCCCCGCTGTCTTTGGCACCGCTCCCGCGACTGCTTCGGAGCGCGCGGCCGCTACCAGCGTCGCCACCGTCGCCCCTCGATCAACGTGACCCCTGCCACCATAACCGCTACCACCGTCGCCCCGATCAACGTCACCGCTACCGCAGTCACCCCGATTAACGTCACCCCTATCAACGTCACCGCTACCACCGTCACCCCTATCAACGTCACCCCTACCACCGTCGCCCCTATCAACGTCACCGCTACCGCCGTCACCCCTATCAACGTCACCCCTACCACCGTCGCCCCTATCAACGTCACCGCTACCGCCGTCGCACCTATCAACGTCACCGCTACCGCCGTCGCCCCTATCAACGTCACCGCTACCACCGTCGCCCCTATCAACGTCACCGCTACCACCGTCGCCCCTATCAACGTCACCACTATCAACGTCACCCCTATCAACGTCACCGCTACCACCGTTGCCCCTATCAACGTCACCACTATCAACGTCACCCCTATCAACGTCACCGCCACCACCGTCGCCCCTATCAACGTCACCACTATCAACGTCACCCCTATCAACGTCACCGCCACCACCGTCGCCCCTATCAACGTCACCACTATCAACGTCACCCCTATCAACGTCACCGCTACCACCGTTGCCCCTATCAACGTCACCACTATCAACGTCACCCCTATCAACGTCACCGCCACCACCGTCACCCCCATCAACGTCGCCGCCTACTACCGCCGTCGCCGTCACAACCATCTTTTGCCGTTGTCACCACCAGCACAATCTGCCACCACACCCATCACGACTATGATCGCCACCAGATCGTGCACTCCGCAGTAGCACTGTCATGCGGCAAAGATGTCAAAGGCTTGCACCACCAATCACCCCGCCCTCATCGCAGGTGCATCGCACGTTCAATAAAAGCCCACCACTTGCTATTCACAAGCGTGTGCCGAAACAAACAAAAAATCGCCCGCGCGAACCGGTGCTTTAATTGACCAATTAAGCCAAGTCAAGACGTGGAATCGCAGAACAAACGTTTGCAGAAGTTGGGGGAAATTTGATGGGGGGGGGGGGTGGGATGGGGTAGAGTTGGGGGGGGGGGGAGATGCAATTGGGACAAGGTCGGAAAAGCTTCGTTGTGACGCCGCCGTTGTGACTCGTGTGCCCGCCTTGCACCGGCACCGTGGCCGCACAGCTCCCTCTGTGCCTCCTCCTTGCTTCGTCGAGTCCTCGTGTCACCGACTTGCCCTCGTTCTTTTGTACAAATATAGCCGAGTGCTACGAGGCAGTAATCAACCAAAGCTGAACGTTTTAGGCGCTCGCCCTCTCCGGACGACAAGTTTCTAGGGTTGAATGTTGCCCGTTATGGCGCCCCCACAACCCCCCCCTCCTCCTCCCTTGCCCCGTCACTTTGTTCCTCCGGCATCATTGTACCACGTCGCTCAAGCGGGTTTACTGCTCCGCGCATCGATTACCTCCAACCTCCACCCGTCGTCATCGTCCCATCGCCATGTGGCTACGCAGAGGCGGCCGCAGCTTGTCACACCACTACCACCACGACACTGCTGGCTACCATCTCACCACTCCACCTGCCCACTGCCAACGTCTGGGCGTTTGCGAAGAAGAGCTTCGTGGTTACCAACTTGCCCTCGTTTTAAGTCAAGATTTAGAGCTTCATAGCTCATCGGATTTATGCAGGATAAATACAGATTTCGATTTCTCATCTCCAACCCCAACACAACACTTGTCCATCTCGCCACCTATCAACTCACCAGCCAGCCCTTGCACCACACCCGCTGCTCAGCACATCACCCCCACTCTTGCACTCCTCACCCATCACACCACATCACACCACATCACACCATCACCCTACAACCGCAACCCTTCCATCTACCACCTCGCCAGACCCCCCCCCCCCTCCACCACACCCACCGCTCACCACATCACCTCCACGCCCCACCACACACCGCTGCCTACAACCCTTCCATCTATCATTTACCACCTACCAAATCACCTGCCCCCCCCACCACCCTCCTTGCAGCACACTCCATCCACCACGTCGCCACCCCCATAAGCGCCACCCCTTCAATCTCATCATCTCGCCACCGAGGGCCCCACTGATCGCCATTCTTGCCGATGGTGGAGGGGGGGGGTGTTGCACGGAATTATGAACTTGTTTTATTGTTGTTGTCGTCGCTGCTGCTGCTGTTGTTGCTTTTCAATCGCGGCAGCCACCAAGCGCCACAACCGCACAACTTTGGATGTCGCCACCACCAGCTTCCCCCTTTGGAAAAAAAAAATCCGAAAACCTTGCAAGCGGTGACCTCCGTTCCTGCATAACACACACACTTACCTTTGTGTCACATGGTTTGTTTAGTTTGTATACGTATTATTAACATCTTACTGTATCTCCGTTCATTATTATTATATTATTATATATAATTCGTTAGGAATTATTTGAACGAATTCCACTGGAAGTTATGTTATTATAAATACTGTCTTGCTTCACAGTTTTTGTACATGTTACAAAAGTGAATACATTTGTCATTGTAAAATCTTGCACGTCTTAGGCTGTTGTCTGCCCGGTGCTTGGTGTTGGTGGATCTGGTGGTCGTGATAACTGGCGGTGGTGATGAGGTTTTTGATGATAGTGGTGGAGGTTTGCCGGGTGAATGTTGGCGATGATGGATGTAGTGGTAATAATTACGGTGAGGTTTTTGATGATGATGATGATGGAGGTAGTGATGATATTAGTGGCTGGTTATGATGGTGAGATGGTGGTGTGGTGGTTTCGATAGAGGTGACGTGGTGGTGGTGATGGTAATGAAGGTGGTGGTGGATGATGGTGACGATAAAGGTGTCGGTTGCAGTAATTGTGGTGGTGGAGGTACTCATCGTGATGGTGATAATTGTGGTGTGTGTTGTGCGGGTGGTAATGATGATG